GTGTATCCTAGAAGCTAACTGAAGGTGAGGAGGAGTAGGTGAGAGGAGTTCCTTGCATTGGCGTAGAGTAATAGACTTCTCGTTCGGCTCGGAAACTTTCTCGAGAGACCTTGACGCATATTTCTGGGGAACCAGAAAACATGCATAAAAGCAGCACCTATCAGAGAGTGTTAAACTTCTATTTTACGATGCTTTTCTTAGATTTTCGTCATCGTCATTAGACAAGGTTATGAGAGGGAAAACTCGCATGCAAATTTGACATCCTCGGCGACTCCAATTCTGGAGCTAGGACTAGTTAAAAAGAAAAGCTCAGTTGAATTAAGAACCTTGAAGTCGCATGCATTCAGGACCTGCCTCCTTTTTAGCAAATGATTGTCGATGAACGAAGTTAAAACCCATAAAATAGGCGGTACATTTGACAATATTTCAAACTGGTGCGCTTCAATCTCTGGAGCTCCATGCGGCATAGACTAAAAGGTCTTGCAGGGAAAGGAGGAGAAGCCAGTCAGTGCAAAATTAGAATTAATATTAAAACCGCGGTATTCGCATACCAGCGACGCTTGCTCCTTCTGGTGTATCCAGCAACATTTTTATTGCCACGAAACGGATGCGTGAGGGTAAAAGGGGTGGTATTAGAGCCTTCACCGAGGGAGGGGTTAAGCACAATGTGTCTCAGGGTAGCCGCCGCGCGGCCTTGCGGCAACAGGAAATTCGTGAGCCAGGGGGAATGTAGCCAATTCAGGGGGGTCGGGGGTGAGGGCAGTCACTTAGCATGCGTGAGAAGCTCTAATGTTTAGTGAGCTCGCGCGCGCAGAGGTGCGCCATGCTTCTGCCTTAGGCCTTGTATTCACTAAGCATTTATCCTAATGACATCAAAGAACAATAAATGCGGAAAACATTAAGTAATAACAGAACCACAGCAAACGATAGGAGTCGCAGGAAGATAACCGGTAGACAGAGTGAGATAATGAACAAACAAGGCACAACAAGGTATCACAAGCTGGTCTGGGTAGGCTAGGGCGTCGCCCCGACGATGGAAAGAAGCTCAAGAGCCTAGGCTGCAGTCCTCGGCTCGCTTCGGCGGTCGACTCCTCGATAGCTCCTTCGGTCGCATCGCCACGCCCTGAAAGCATAGGATGAGTCACACCAAAACATAAAGACGCGCGCTTGCATGGCGCGGCTTACAGTTTCGTGAGAAGCCTGGAACGTTCGAGTTACACACTACATCGCTGAGCCGCGCGTGGCGACTGCTCCCCCCCCCCCGAGCCACATTGCGCCAGGGGTTGTAAGGACACGCACATTTCCCAGACACGATTTTCACACTCGTCCTGTCTCTTCGGTGGCATTGAAGTGACGAATGTACGCGTCAATCCGTCGTAGGCGGTGTGAATGCAGACAACATTTCATAGCCGGCGTCATTCTAAATTTTAACGGGAATTTTGCCTAGTTTCTACTGGTGATCTACTAACTATAAACGGGATAAGGTTCGTTATAGATTCTTCTCATTTAAGTTGATTATATGTATTCGTTTTAAGTGGCACATTGACTTTGTTTCTTAGGCGCATTGAAGCTTTCTTGTTTTTCTGCTAGTACTTCCATAAAATCTTCGCTTTGAACGACAATTTTTGCCTTTTCCTAGAAGAAGGTAACTATTTATTCATTCCCACTTATTTAATGGGATAGTAAAGGAAGAGGCAAGTGAAATTAACCCGTCCGGAAAGTTGAAGTTGTTTTTTTAGTCTCCTGAGGCTTTCAACGCAGGATTATAGTTCTTATTTCATTTTTTTGTGGTGCTTTGCTGCTGGTATTCAATTCCTTAGTTTCTTTGGTCTATTTAAATCTGTAGAATATCGTTTGGAGTGGCCTCTCTAGTACAGTGTGCGTTTGTGCTAATCCAAGGTTGATATTTTCAGGAAATGAATCGAGTTCTGCAGTTGTTTCGTCCGCAACTGACCTCTGCAAGATTATGTTCGGGCATTACCAAAAGGCCATCTCCTAATGAGATTACTAAAGAGAATGCAGAGTTCGATCAAGTAACACATACAGGACAGGTATGGGCAACAGCCAAAACTTGATTGGAACCCTATTCCCAATGCCTTCGGCACATTGTTTTCATCTTCATCTTTATCTCGGTTTCCAGGCTTGGGATAAGGCCGACTATCGCCTGCAACGGTTTGACACCTCGAAAAAACAGGTGATTCTGTCATTTATTTCCATCAAATTGTCTCCCAAGAGAAATTCAGTAGTCGGCCCTCACATGTCTCTTTTGTGGAACTTGTGGATTTGACGCCTTTGGAACACGATTACTTAACAGCTTTGATAAGGCTTTCAGGTCCCTATAAGCTGTTTGTTACAAATCATTTTTTTTTCTTTGGAAAGCCTCACACGATCTGCTTTTGAGGTAAACCCGAACATCGCTATGAATTTGATCGCAGAACGTCCTGCTCAAGACTGTGGTAACGAACGCGTCGTTTGTTGCGATGGTGGACATCCAGCTCTCGGCCATCCACGTGTATTCATAAACCTTGTGAGTCCTTGTGTTCAACTTTCCTTAAAATTTATGTATCTGTATTTTTTCTTCTCTTCCATACCTTTTTAGCACATTTTCAGCTCACAAAGGTCATTCAATATTTATTCTATTGGGACAATTTCCTTTTTCTCTAAAATTTTCATGATACTTTGACAACAACATTCCGCGACCATTCCCCTCCTTACTTCGTTTGATGAGGTCATGTTTCCTTAAAGTCACTTCTCTGCTAGAAAGAGGATCCTTTTTGTTAGTGCAAACTCGTAAGTCTTGAGACATATTCCTCGATGTATCGGCTTAGAGTGGCATAAGTCTAAAGGTGGAACTTGTACCGGTAAAGAATGTACTGTTATTCTAATGAGCGCTAGGGTTTTTTCACTCGACTTGCTTGGCGCTATTCCTGTTGCTCGTGAGGCACATGGTCCGTAGCGAGTGTGTGCATTTCGCTTGCCTCCTGCGCTCCCACTCCAATTCTTCAGTGGGGCTCAAAGGGAGTCGCCGAATCTCGCCCTGACAGCGCTTCGACGTTCGTCGTGAATCCTTCCACAGCCCAAAAAAGTAGCCTGAGAGAAAGTATTCGGTGTGAGGAACAGTTCGACTGCCTCCATTTTCCCCTCAGCGATGTCTGCGCCCCTCTCGTCCGTTGTGCTTTCTCGCCCATCCTCTCTCCTCTCCGCCTTGGATAAAAGTGAGCAATCCTTTAATATTGGCGTTTCCGACAGAATCTTTTCCTTTTTTCGTTGCTGGCGGATTCGCACCAATGATTTCATCTTCGTGTGCACGAACCACACCAGGTTGCCCGGGCGTGCTTTTCCCTGGTATTTGGGTGGTTTCTTTTCCTCCATTTTTCGCTGGTCGTCACATCTACTTCTATTTTCAAACCCAATAAGCACGCATAGGTGGTCGTAAAATTCGCCTTTAGGGCACGAACTCTGTGTAGTACACAAACTGTACTTATACTACACTTTTTACTATAACACTTTATACTTATACCTGTTCAAGTTAAATATCTGTGCCCGGATCTCATTTCTCGTCGTCATTTTGAGCGTTTTTGTATCACCTTATAGCTTCATGAATGTGTGCACCCGCCAATTATCGAAAATTAATCAACATTTCCTTGTCAAGGACAAGCCTGGAGTTCACGCATGTGGTTACTGTGGGAACCGTT